TTCCAGACCCAGACATTTTTCCATTTGATAGATGTTTTCCACTGGCAATCTACCGAGGCGGTCTGGCCGCACAAATTTTTGAATGACATTATCCTGAGCAAAAACGCTGCCCACACGACCCCATAGTCAAGATGGGAAATAATAATCTGCTAGACAAATCAGCCAGCTTCGGCTGTTGCGCGTGACAAGTCTGTCGTGGCCTCATAGTGTCGTCCTCGATTTAGCTTGTTCACCAGCATCACAGACCTAGCCTAAGACTCTGAGCGGAGCATTACAAATTCCAAAACGCGACTAGAAAATAACGCTTGTCAGCATGCAGCTCCGCATGAGAATCATTTTCAGCATGCGGATTTGCATGACAGCTATCGGGTGGTCGTGGGGACGTTTTTACAGAGGATAGACCGGAAATACTGGTATCGGTTCTCCGAATGGTTTGAGCGGAAGGACTACGCATTGCAAGTCTGTGGTCTGGGTCTGGAAAGAACTTGTGATGCTGGCTTGGGAGTGATGGACACACTGCAATACCACGCAGCCAAGCATGACAAGTTCTTGAGCTGCTCGTTGTTGCGAGCTCTGCATGGCAAACTGCGCTTTTGCATGACAGGCAAGCGACTCTCATCCTTCTCATGCATCAACTGAGTTAGGAGTCATGAGAGACAAGCATGACAAACTCGTGCATTCTTCCAGACCCAGACATATTTGCGGTTGATAAGGACATTTTACTCCGCTTCCGCTCCGTGCGACATTTGTACCAACTTGCCACGTATCCTGTGCAAAAGTATCGTACTAGTATGAATTGCATCACAAATTGACTTAGCATGATTACAGATTAAATTTGTAATGCGGATTTGCCTTAGGAAAAAGATTTGTAATGCATAAACGCAGTACGAGTACGATGCTTTTGCACTGCATACCACGAACAACGAGCACGATTTCCTGTACCCAGAGCTGACGGAGAAAATGCAAAAGTACCAGGCGTATCAAATGTATAAAATGTCTGGGTCTGGAAGATTCTGACACTTGTCATGCACGTTTTGCATGAGCCATGATCATGATGTCCGTGATGCATACCCTAGCAATACAGATTTTTTGAGGGCTTCTTGATGCCTATCCCGCATGACAAATGCCTTCTCGGAGTAGCAAAAATTGCATTCCCCTTGCTACCCATGCAATACAGATTTTTTTGGAATCCAGATGCAGCATCACAAGTTGCATTCTTCCAGACCCAGACATTTTTGCATTTGATAAGGCGAAAATTATGAAGACCGCTTTAACCTGGTGGCGGATTGCCCTGGAGTTGTAGAACAAATTGATTGCTATTACTTAAAGATGCATCGCAAAAAATGTACTTCTAACCCCTTTATCCCCGGACGTCTGCAAGGATGCAAGCTTGCGCTGCGCAACATTGTAGAGCACACGAAAGTCTGTCATGCAAATGGACAGCAAAATATAAACGTGTTCGCGACTGTGTGAAGATCTTCTATGTATAATTTTGGCGCCTTCCGGCTTCTTGCGCGGAATCAAGGTCCCATGCACCGCTATCGGTCGATTTCCATTGCGTGACAACATCATTCGAAAAACGAAATTTGCTTTTATGCTTTTCATTCTAGCTTCATTTCGCGCTCGCTTTTCATTCTAGCTTCATTTCGCGCGCGCATTCGTCATGCTGTGATGCGAGATGAAACAGACACTCAGCTTCTATCGGTCAGTCATTGTAGTTGCGACAAAAAAGCACACCGCAATCGGTAAGTAGTCGTTCTCCACGATGGTATTATATGAACCACGACCCATGTAGTCCACCGCCATAACTTCGTATAGTACTAAGTGTTGTGCGCCGCAGCTGGTGACACAGAAAATTTTTCGGTCGTCGTGAGAGAAAAAAGAACAATGCTATCTTCTCGGTTTTTGCAAAGCAACTCAGAATTTTGCGCCGTCGTTCACCGTCGACTACTTACATATCCAGACACCGACTATGCTACCTAGAGGTGGAGCCTAGAAGAAGACTTTCTATTTCTTATCGCTAGGTTCGTGATGTAACTTGAGAACAACTAGCTTGGTTCCGTCTCCCTCCCGTTTTAAAAATCTTGCTTCCCATGATCGCACCAATCCCCCACACAGCAACTTCCCGTTTGGAAACCAAAACTCCTTCGGACAGAAAATAAGTAGCTCGACAGAGAAGTAGTATGTTGCACTCTAAGTAGCTCGACCGAGAAGTAGTAGTACTAAAGTCAACACTGCGAAGATACAAGAGGAAACAAAACCTGAGGTTTTTTGAAAAAGCATTGGTAGTACCAGTGTTGTTTTCGAAGACCGTTGAAAATTTTTAGTAGTGGCTGTACTAGTACCGGGTTTTACTTAAATCACTCTGAGGTATTGTTTGTGAAAAAACAAGTGGTTGCAACTCTATCACAAATAAGCTCGTATCTTTATTTTCGACAATTTTAATTTTTCTCTCACTCTCTGTCGAAGATCGTAGAAGACGAACTTCACTCTCTCGACCTCTGCGCTCTGTTTTTTATAAGGGAAGACTACAGTATTGCAGTCCTCCTGAAGTTATCAAAGAAATGCAAAAATGTCTGGGTCTGGAAAGTTAGAACTTGTAATGCTAGCTTTACATTCCTGGGAAATCTGTATTGCATAACCGACAAAAGCCGCAGCCATTTTTGTCATGCAAAAACGCAGTTTCTCATGCGGGCTGCCTATGAGAAAGTGCTCCGGACAGTTGTCATGCTGGTCTGCATTCGGAAGTGTTTCCATCATGCACATTTTAGCATCACAAGTTTCCAGACCCAGACATTTTT